CTTATATATACAGAGAGAATTACTGTTGTAGCAAGTAAGAAATCTTTGGAGAGAGAGAGTGTAATTACCTTATTAATGAGACATTTAGTAATGGAATCTCGTGCTTTTTGTAAGTTTCCTTTTTTCACACTGTTACCTTTTTCTCTCTGTCTCCCCAAACCAAAGGTAGGTTAATGTTCGGCGTTACTTATATTTTGGTCAAATTACACTTCAACCCTTCAACTATGGCCAAGATATCACGTCACCTCTTGAATTATTGTATATTTTTTTTTTTTATAGAATTTGTTGGAAAAACTTTGTACCGGGTGTTATCCATGGGACAATGTGAAAGTACTGGCTTAAGTGAAATTCTAATGTGAAAATTATAATAATTAAAAGAGCAATATGAAATGAGAACTATCATTAAGGGGTTAAAGTATAATTTATCTTTGTAATTTTTCAACGATTAATTGTCATTATGAGTCAGGGAATCGAATCAAATAAAATCTAAAAGATTGACGACCAAAAATAAAAAAAAATCTGAAAGTGACGTCGTATTGAAAGCAGAAATCTTCTTTCCTTATTTTACGGAAGTCAATGTGAATGGTCCATGCTACCCTCACTCGTTGCCGCCTCAGGCTATATTAATATAATGAGAAGAGGGTACTTAAGTCATCTCAGTTGTTGACGGGAGATTTATTTTTATCGATTAAATTAGGAAGGGCCATTGATTGGTACTAACATACAATTAAATTTGTCTAAATTTATTTAATAAATCTTATATCCTAAATAATTTGCCAAATTTTTATGCATAGAATGTTTACCGGAATTAGTGGACCCTACTGATCCACCCACCCAGATTGATTTAAAATACAAAATTTGATAAATAATTTGATCAGCATAGCATTACTCTTTCCCTTACACTCGTCATTTGTCTCCGTGTCTCTCTCTTTAAAGATTCAAGTCTGGTTATATTACAAAATTGGTTGCACATCTATATCTATATCTATATTATTTATAAATGTCAGTACACTTGAAATATTTTTATTTAATCCTAATTATTATTATAAAATCAATTTTACCCACATATTTACTTTTCATTCAATTTTTATTTTCTCTACCTATTAGAAGCCTAAGTTATTTTAGACTCTTTTGTTAGTAGTATTTGATTTCTAAATTCTTTTGGAATCATTTATTAGTAGTATGCATCCATACTATTTTGTTATATATGTGTCTTTTTATATACAAAAATAAAGTCTAATTTATATTCTATTATTATATACATGTAATTGTCAAAATAAATTTTACTGTCAAATATTTGTCATACTAGCAGGTGCCCTTTGTGATGCACAAAATTTGTTTTTCCCTTCGTCACTTTGTTTCATCTTTTTTTAACCCTTATATTACTGAAAAATTATCCATTTGTAAATTAAAATAATACTGTTTAAATATGAAAAAGTGAAGAAAGATGAGTGAAAATTTAAATTAAAAGAGTTTAAAAAGATAGTGGAAATAGTTGTAAAAGATGGAATAATTTGGTTGGAAGGATTTACTTTAAAAATCTAGAAAATAAGCATATGGGGAGGGAAGACTTCTCAAACCCTCTCATCCAAAAAAAAAAAATGTTATATATATTTGATTTTTTTTTAATATGCAACAATATCATAATATTATAATATAAATAATAATTTACAATTTAATTAATCTCTTTGACAAAAAATAGAATAAATCAGTAATGAAAATAAAAATTTATTATTTGACACATAATTTATTATTCAATTAAATTAAATATATAATAAAACAAATATTATTTAAATATGTTTACATAGTTACTCTAAAAGTAAGTATCAGTGATGAGTTAATTTTTGGATGAACAATGTTTACTTATAAAAAAAAATAATAATATTTGGTTATGCGGAAAAATGATCACATTTTTCTTTTCACTCTCTTTTTCGTTGCTTCTTTCTCATATAAAAAATCTGCTTTTTATAGGCAGAGAATACATGATCCATCAAGGAGGGCAGTTGGGGTTAGGGAGAAGGGAAGTAATGGCAGTGAGTCATCCAGTCCAGCTCCATTGGCATCCCAAAGCCAATCTCTTTTTTGATTTTTTTGCAACGTACTTTATTTCAAATATTTCCGGTTGCATCTTGTTTAACAAGTAAATGACTCTGTATGATCTTGCTCTCCACTAATGGCATGAGTTGCACAACCCCCCCCCCCCCCCCCCCCCCCCCCCCCCTTCTCGGCAG